TATATATATATATATATATATATATATATATATATATCTCTCTCTCTCTCTCTCTCTCTCTCTCTCCTCGAATGATATATCTAAGTTGGTGGAGCAGAGGGCTGTGAATCCTAAAGTCACCGGTTCAAATCTGGTTCCTAACATATATATTACGGTTTCTTACCATTACCAAGAGTAGCATCTATATTAAGTAGAAGAAAAAGAGCAAGAATTCGCACAGTGAAACAGTTACCTGAGAACGAACACCTTCAATAAGACTTCGTCTCTTTTGTCAGCAACTTGCATCAAATTTTGTACCTACGGCCGACTGAGGAAGAAGACAACAATCTCCAGCTGTGGAAGCCAAAATTTAATTTCCATGGATTGCTTGCGACCCCTGCAAGCAGCCACCACAAGTATATATTATAATGTTATTCCCAATCTCCGGCCAAAAAAAAGGTTCGATTCCGAACGAAAGCTCTCTGACACTATTCAATTCCATCTCCACATGATGTTGCCAGTTTCTCACCAATGCGTCATGCGTCATTGATCGGCCAAAACTGCGTCCCTTTTTCTTCTTTTCCCTCTATGTTTTTACTACACACGAGAACAAAAAAAACACTTGAAAACGGCTCGCTGATCTGTTTCTATCGGGCGTCATTGTCTGTCTTTTGCACGCATTGGCCGGGCGGCCCATCACACGTTGGGCTCCCGCGCGCAACCCGATACAAAGAGTTCATGGTCCGGGTGCCGATCCTACCGGGGGATGGATCCGCCATCGCCGGCGCAGGCCGGGGAGAGGCGCTAGCTGTTGGCGAAGAGGACGTCGCGGAACTCGCGGCGGAGGAGGTCGTAGGGGGCCCAGAGCGCGTCGATGGGGCAACGGTGACCGGCGTCGAGGCGGAGCCACGGCTTGCCCTTGCCACTCCAGTGAAGCAGGCTCACCGGGCCCGGGTGGAGGTCCCGGCACAGCCCCTCGACGTTGTCGCCGCCCAGACCGTGCTGGTTCCATTGGTGCTCCACCCTCTTGACCTCGCCCGCGAACACCAGCAGGAACGGCGGCAGCGAGCCTAGCTCGTAGATCCGCGCCTTTCGCTTCTGCACCTCCATCCAGGCTTCGAGCTTCTGGGTGTAGCCCCTCGTGCGCCACCGGTTGAGGTCCATGACCATGACCCCGGTGTTGAAGTAGCAGGGCGGGCGTCGGCGGCCGGTGAGGACGCCGGGGAACTCCGGATCGGACCAGAACCGCTCTGTGAAGTAGAGGTGAAGTTGGCGTGGCAGTACTCGGGGGCCGCGAGGACGTGGTCTGGAGCGAGGTTGGTGGCCCACAGGCGGCCGACGTCGTCGACGACGACGAGGTCAAATCGAAGTAGATGACGCGGCGGACGGAGCGGGGGAGGATGTCAACGAGGTAGATGCGGGCGTGGTTGAGAGGCCGGTCGAGGGCACTGCGAACGGAGGAGAAGATGCGACCGCGGACGAGAGCGGGGTCGAAGCGGTACACGGCGAAGGAGAGGGAGGGGAAGGAGGCGGCCAAGGCGGACTGGAACCGGCCAGGACAGGTGGCGAGGAAGTCGAAGACGGTGGACTCCGGGCAGGCGGAGTGGCGGAGCATGGAGAGCACACCGGCGAGGGAGCCGCGGAGGTAGGCAGCATCGAGGGTCATGGCAATGTGGATGGTCGGGGCAGAGGCGCAGCCGGGCCCGTTCCGGAACGCCGGGGCTTCGCGGAAGCGGGGGAGATCGGTCGCTGCTGCAGCCTCCAAGCCCGACAATGGCCTCCCGAAGGAGAAGGAAGCGGCGAGCAGAGCCGTCGCCAGTGCTGCGAGGAGGGAGGAGTGTGGCATTGACGGTGACGAGGGGTGACGAAAGTGACGGAGAAGAGGAAATAAATAACGACACTATCGTCGACACGAAAGCATTTTTTTTATGTATATAAGTAATTAATCTTGTCTATTAATTAAAAAAATATTTAACACAATATATATGCATAATTTTGTAAGGGCTATTGATTATTAGTGGTGACAAAGGAATGTAGACAATAACAGAAGAGTCTGATCGACAATTTTCCCTCCTGAAAAAACCTTAAATATTTCACAAGCTTGGCAAAATAACACAGCATAAATCTTCAAAAAATATATAATCAATTCGAATTAACTTACGGCTTTACCCAATTGATCATAACATGCATTGTTTTAATGATCGTTCACGATTTAATTGGGCTAAAAAATAAATGTCTACCGACCTATTTTCTTATGCTAGGGCAGGGATGAATGATTTAAGATTCACATTTCTTGGACCAACAAGAGCTGATAAGAAAACGTCTGGCAGCAGATTACATAATTCATTCTCGTCAAAATAATAATCACACCAGTCAGTGTGCTGTCTTGACATGCATGAAAAGTGAAGAATGTTCATCTTTTCTTCCTTCAAGAACTGATTTTTTTCAAAAAAATTTTAATGTCATTTTACTAAACGTTAAACTACCATCCATCCCAAACAAGAAATACTTTTTCTCACACTTTGGGAGAAAAGCACTCAAAAAATCTGAGAGCATTATATCATTCTTTGGCAAAACTCAACTTTTTGGGGTTCACCTGATCTAGTTGAATGTAAATTGTCCCAGAATTGTCATCAGATTCAGTCCACTTGATTGACTCATTCTCCAGAAGCTTTAACACCTGCAAATATTTGACAAAATTTAAATTTTATTTTACTATACATAAATAGGCTTTTATTGCATATTGGTGGAGAAAGAATATTAAGCTACAATAAGAAAGAATGATATGGAACAAACTGGAAGAATATAAAATTCTTCCGTAAAGCCCACGAAAAGGGCTACTAAAATTATTGCAGCATTAAAAAATGATATTCTTAAACCGTGAAAAGATCATTATGAGAGACAGAATGCAAAACAAAATTAAATCTCAAAAAACTAAATCTCTTTTTTTGGCTGAACAAGTCATACCAAACGCCTTTTTTTCCCTTGTTTGCGATCTTCACTGTCAGCACCAATGACAAGCTTCAAGTATCTAAGAGCTGAAGAAGATAAAGCAAACATCAACTCATTTTTTCCCAGACTAAGTGAAAAATACACAAGAAACAGATGTGAAAATCTCAAGAATCTACAAACTTACTAGGAATATCAGCCAGTGAGCACAAGAGCAATTTTGACAATTTCAATGCTTCTTTCGCACAATGAGGCTGAAGATCAAGAGTGATTTCATCTTTGTTGCTAGTTTTCCTGGAAGTTCATATTGAATACATCATATTGTAATAACCTATTACAGAAAGGAAGTCAGATTATACAACCAAAAGAGATAAGACATGAAGTAACCTTGGTTCAACCAACATTGCAGCAGATTTTTCATCTGCTTCTCGAGCCTTTTGATTATAGTACTTCCCCTGAAATGCAATAAGATGGGTGTATCAGCACAAAGATTAGGATGCTTATACATGCTAAAAAGAGAGGTTAAAACTTATTCAGAATCTTTAACTCTAGTGAACAGTTTACCCTAATAAGTTCGGTATATACAGTTCCTCCGGTCACAGTGAAAAATAAAACTCTGCATACACATTATGCCAGAGATACAAAAGGAGTAAATACGTTAGGAAAAGCCCCTGACCAAAGCCAATTGTATGATACCCAAAAAGTCTTATATTGGGAATATAAAATTTTGCATTGGACAAAATCATTTCATCAGCTTAAGTATTTTGTGCCATATTGGCGACAACACTTATTACAAGAAATGGAGCTAATATGTTATATAGCTCATCATATATGATATCAAATCACCTCTATGGATCCCAGTCCTGTAAGCAAATATATTGTGGGGTTCAATCCAATATAATTTGTTAAAGATTTTGACAACAACATGGTAGTGGGGCCATCTGGTTTTATTATTAAACAGAATCCAGGAAAGGTATATGGCATTTTGAAGGAAACATTCACCCCCCAGGCCAGAACTCAATAGAAGGATTTAACACCATGTTATGCTCTAATGAAAACATAGGAAATTGAGTGTAATGACTGCAAAACCCCAAAAGTCCACATTGGGTAAATTGGACAGTATAAACTTACTATATTATGCATTACATATTTTGGGCCAGGTCAGCAAGCCCACACCAATGTGTTAGACTATGCTGTTTGGGTTCTTATAGGCAGATTATATAATTGTTTGGACTTTCTTATGAGGATAACGATAACCAATCTCACTGGAAAGTACAGTCACATTCACACCACTGGTTTCTAGTTTGATCTTGAAATTCATGACCATGAAAAGAGAGTTCCAAGCTGAGATAGACAAAAGAAGATAGGATCAACAAATTTTGCCTATATTTGATGCAAACAAAGATAAGGATCGACTGACCATCACACAATAGGATGGGCAGGCAGTGTTGGAATCATGAAGATAGAGGTGTAGGTTGGTTTAAACCATGATAAATAAGATTGTTGTAACATGATGCAGATTGGACTTGTGGCAGTGAGGTTCAAGGTAAAATTATGCCCAACAACTATTTAATATACCACATAAAACAACACTATTAAAAGTTGAACTTAATTGATGTCGTTGTTCCACATAAAAAAAGTTGACATACTTTAGTCAAAATAAAAGCTGTCAAATAGAGATTGTTTGGGAACCAGAACTAAAGTTCACGACAATTTAGCAAGAAAACTAGATAACCTAATTCATTTGTTATGATCGTTCCTTAATAATAAAGATTGTGTTTAACCATAAACATGAAACTCACTTGCTCTATATGGTAGCTGGCAGCTTCATTGTCACCCCTTGTAAAAGCATCAACAGCCTACAAAGCCAATGAGTCATGAATAAAATAGAAAAAAGAAGACATATGAAAGACAAATTAGGGATTACAGATAAATCATTATGATGATAAGTTGTGAAACAAATTGCTTACGGCTTCATAATATTGCTTCATTGAATCCCAATGCAGCTTAGCAGCTCTCCTTAGGACCTGGTAATCATCATCTTCCTCAGCAACTGGACCTAGGAGAAAAATTACATATTAACTTGTTGAAGTTAACTAGCATAACAACAAGTTGAGACACAAACCATGCTGAAGAAAATATGCACACTCCAATAAATTTAATTTCTAACACTGCAGAGTACAAACTCTGAGAAACAGAAGTATGACAAATCATGATTTAAAGTCTGAAAATTCCAAGAAAATCATTTCGATATGCAATAAAGCAGAGCAAAACTACAGATTCTAGATTTCTAGCAGTAGAACTTATTCTCTTATGAAAGAAAAGATGCTTGGATCAACCTACTACATGTTCACTTTTTGAAAAAAGAAAAAGAAGCAAGAATCGACCTGCAGAGTACATGAACAAAAAATCATGTTGCAATAATGAGATGATGACTTAAGTCATCAAAAAGAAATTCTCTGCAAATTAATAAAATCCATCAAACGGATCAAGTTTACTTGTGGATGAAATTAAAGAGTGATCGCCACTTAAACAAATGATTTCATTCTCCCATAATTCCAAATTGATCATGTATTTTCCAGTTCTTTGATTACTAACTAAATTTTTAAGAATGATCCCATCTAGCAAAATAAAATCAGTATAACTTATTCCTAACTTCTATTATTTTTACTCAGCTTACTTAGTCAAAGTTTCCTTTGTACTTGATGTTTCTTTGTTCAACAAGAAAATTTCATGAGTTCCTGTTCTATGAAAGTCGGAGGCATCTAAGGCATTATGACACTTTACGGCCTAAGATGTTCATCTAAATAAAGCAGTAGACAATCAAAAAATTAAAACTATGTACAGATTGGTAGAGTCAATTTAGAGCTTACAAAAATAATATTATCATTACATAACTGGCAACAAAATTGTCCCAAAACATCTTATTGACAGTGAACAATTTTAATTAAATGAATAAATTCACAAAAATCATATCAACATTCCAAATATTTGTTGAATGAGTTGAGCAACTCTTGACATGTTCTTATAGTGAAATGATAAGAATGCCTCATACAAGGTTTTCCATCTTTGTCCTAATGCTGCAATGATTAGTACACTCATGTTCTTGAAAAAGTAATGCAATATGTGAAAAAAAAAAAGGCAATACCCTCACTGTACATACATAAAACAAGGGCATAAATGTTAATTTATGGAGCAAGTTGAAAAATATTCAATCAGACCAGTGTACCTGCTGCCTTTAACATGTTCAAAGCAAGGATTAAAAACCAGCTATACCAATATGTAGTGACTGGTAATTGCTGGTCTAACCATGTTCCGACAGACAGGTCAAATAATTTCAACCTATTCAGTTCGGGACTATTGTACTAACCGGTTATTTCACCGTACCAAGCTCGCCAGGCAGTAAAGAGACCAATATCATAGCGTACTGCATAGTAAAGACACCAGCACCAATACCTTTTTCCTTTTGAAATTTGTGACAACCATACAACTGTTAGTCTATTATTTATTTTCTTCTCTCCCTCTACCTGTCTGTCTCTCACCCAACTCTTGCTCCCTCTTTCTTCTCTTTCCCTACACCTTGTCATCCCCCCACTTATGCTTACACGTCCACCATATCCTGCTCCCCTCCACATTGCTGCTGCTGCTTCCTCCTGCCGATAAAAATGCTAACACATTTTCCTCCTCTTTCACCTTTTCCTCATCCTCTTCCTCCTCTCTTTTCTCCTCCTCGTGCTCTTGCACGTCTCTTCTCACCCTCTCTTCTCTTTGGTACATGCCAGCCAATACAGGGGCATACCATGCATCGGCACACCCCATGCACCAGGAATCATACAGGACCTGCCATAGACCAGTATAGGTCTTCGACTAAAGTAAAACCTTAGTCCTAACAAACATTAATAGTCATTATTCAGCTGTCATTGGCATATATACATATTTTTGAATTCTGTTCAAGTAAAAAAACTTCTGTTTACAATGTCTCTAAAGCAATAACTATACTGAAAAAACTGAATTCAGGGCATACCATCATTGACCACCTGTCTTATATTCGGAATATCAGTTGTGGAAGATAACACAAGGTCCTCCAGTGGTTTTGTAACTGCCTTTTGCCCAACAACTCTCATTCTATTCAATCCCATCTCTCGACGTTTTATCTTTTGTTCCTCTTCTGATCTCTCAGGGACATTAAACAAGGATTGTATCACCTCCATCGGTAAATTTGAATTCTTTTGTTCCATGCTAGAGTGTCTTGGAATATTTCTTCATAGAAAATTGTTTCACCAATTAGAAAATATATTCCATATTTTGATTTCTTCAAAAAAAATTCCCCACTATGAAAGTTAACATCTTGAAAGCGACAAGTTATCCTAGAAAGAAAAAAAATGGTAACAGTTGAAAAGTTTACTTAACAAGCATACCTTACACTAGACGGAGAGTTCGGACAACAATCTTCATATGGAAATTTCTCCGTCTGTGAGCCTTTACCTGCAGACTATCGTAGAAAATTTGACACAATGCAAGTAACTGATAAAAAGGGTTAAAGCATGGAATTAGGCAGATAAAAGTTCACAATTTTCAAGATTCAAGAAGCTGCTAATGCCATAGAAAGGGTGTTATAAAGGTTCACAATTAGGCAAATATTGGTTCTCCAGTGATCCAATGATAGAAATCACCAGTTATAAAGGTGTTAATGCCGTAAAAAATTGAAAATTGTAAGAAAGGAACATAATTACAAGCAAGGATTACCATTGCTGGCTACCATATACACTGCTAGTTGGGTACCAACAGAAGGCATGAGTGCCTGTCAGTACTACAGCCACTTACAACTAGTGGCCAGGCAAAAGGACACATGATAGAACGGTATAAACCACGTGCCAAACAAGTACCAGCATGCACCCATGACCCAGGCCACAGCAAGGCAATTGTTGGTTACATGAGAAACTACTGAAAACAAGCATGACATATTACAATTGTACTTACTTTTCTCAAATCATCATAGTCAACTGCCTTGCCTTTCTCCAAGGTGTTAGAAGAAATTATCAATAATTCCTCCATGCTCTACAAAATGAAATCAACATTCCTTATTATTTTATTGAAAGTTTCAAATGAACAACTTGAGAAAACAAAGAAATTGGCATAATGTAATTTACACCAGCACTTATATAATCAAATGCTTCATTTGCATGATACTCAGCTATCTTTGACTTTGCAGATGACATTGGTCTATGTCAACACTCAAAAAATTTATGCAAAAGCTGGACATCTCCACTAGGGTTATTTGATAAAATCTAAATTACAAAAATTAAACAAAATATGATTAGTGTCAGAAATCAAGGATGCACCAGATAAACATGCTTGTCAGATAGTTCCTAGGTAACAAGGGACAAATTTGAATGCTTTGGGAATAATAACAGGACACATCCCTCTTGCTTTCTGTGAGAAAACTTTTAATCTCTTAATGACGGACAAGATAGATCTTTTCACTTAATGATGGATGAAATAGATTTGTTTACTATGTGGATCATTGCTTTGAAGTATGTCTTATCCTACATCTTTCCATAAGATCCTAATTCCTTTATCTCTGCATGTGAACAATTTTGTTCTGAAGATAGCTTATTTAAAAATATCAGTGATCCCAGTATATTATCCTGTTAATGCTTGATCATATTTGAACTACCATATGAATGAAAATTCACTATTATTGTCATATCCATGTTGTACAAACTCAAGCACAAGATATTCCTTGACAACTTTACTTCATATTCTATCCACATTTGGTCTCTGCACCGATCTGATTAACTTTTGGCCACCATGAAGTATATAATCTTGGGCCATAACCACTACAAAAGACCGTGTTTAGACTCCTGTCTCATTAATTAATTCGGTAAGCACCCCAAAACTGACTAGCTCATTTATTTCTTTAATATCTTCTAAAATACTAAGAACCAAAGAATTTATAGCAAAAAATTATCTTGTGTGAACTACAAGTAGCATCAAAGTCCATCAAAAGAACTCAAAAATCTTACCTCCAAACTAATCTCCAAAAATTTAGCCTTCAAGAAAATTTACCTGACAGTTTGATAGATTTACACCCATCTTTTAAATGCATAAACTCGATAAAAGATATACACAAATATATTAGAGCATATATAGAAGAAATGCATACATAAGATGAATCATTTATCAATAAACCAAAGATCATATTCACAAAGGGGAAGTAGATGCACCTTCTTCATGTTGTATCCACAACATCCTGCAGGAACATGTAAATCTAATTATATGGGCTTTTCCAGAGGCAAAAAGAAATTCAAAACACATAAGGCCAAGCTTTTGTTCAAAATACTCATTCCAACATTCAAGAACAGCAATTAAATATATGAATAACAGATTAATTTTCAGTTGTCAAAAATTCTCATATTGCAGGAGAAGTTTCAAGGGCAGACACTAAAACATGAAATATTGTAATGATTATTCAGTATTTAAAAGAACTTATTTTAGTTATCAACATGCTTCTTGAACTGACACTAAAACAAGACATACAACAGCACACTTAAAACAGGTAGGAAATTTGATATTGTAAACAAGTGCTACTGAGTCAAATTAAAATAACAATTGACACAAGAAACTAATATGGTAGTAAAAAAGATAATGTCTAGACTATCCCATTTTATAGGAGTTATTGTCCTAATAAATAGACTGTGAATCCAGATGTAAATAGATGAGCAACTTGTATCTTAGCTTTCACAAATTTTACAGACTACAACAGTATTGATTTTGGTTCATGGCATGGAGTCAAATGCAATAAAATGCACATAAATACCTAATTATTAATTCACAATTTTGTTAAATATTCATAAAGCAAATCATGTCAGAAAAAGAAAGGAGACTCATAAAATGACATAAAAAATCAAAATATAGTTATGCAAATATAGCAGCATCTTAATTATTCAATAACACATTGTGCCTTTTATGCAATCTTAATCGTGAAGGAATCACAAAAATTAAAGTCAAAAATGCAGTGAACTTGAATGTATTCATGTATGAAAGTTCATGACCGTGTGACCAAAATATCAAATAAGTCATTTGAATAGCTAATAAAGCCAAATTACTAAGACCTAAATTAGTAGTAATCCCTAAAGTTATTTTTACTGACACTAATAAGACATAGATATATAGGTTACAGCTACAGAATATAGGTTAATCATTTATCTTAAACATGATTTCTTTTTAACTTGAAAATTGATCAACTAAGATGATACATCGAGATTGAGTCTACAAATATTTTGAGTAGAACTTTGTTCGTTCATTGATTATTACCCTGTCTGCGGTGTGTTAATTTTTTGCATATCTCTGCTCAGAATTTTCTTAGTGTTAAAGGCAGAAATCAGTGGTAACCTTGACATGAGACTTCAATTATACATTGAACATTGTAGTTAAAGTTTCATATCCTGAACATTTTGATTCGACTATATGAAATGCTTCATTTTTCCACTGAACATCATTGTAGAAATTCAACAACCTGAAAGCTCTCAATTGCAAAAGCCATTTGAAATGAAGGTTGCTATCTTGTGGCAGGAACTCACATGCCTATTGGCAGAGTAATACTTGATATGAAATGCGTGGCTCAGTGTTAATCAAATAACAATAACAGATGGACCAAATAATAAAGCATTTAAAATTATAAACTATTGTTTATCACCACTCATTTGCATGTTAAAAAATTCATCATTAAGATAATGAAAAGATAATTACCAAGCACATCACGGATGACATCCATGCTTAGTTTGAATCCATCTCCAAGCATTGAAAATAGGAACTCTTCGACATCCTTGTCATTCAAAGTACTACTTTGAACAGAGTTTGGCATAAACGACTCTGATTCAAGTACATCTAACATTTGTTCCTTGATTTCAAGCTTGGGTGGTTTAGTTGTTTCACATGATTCATTTCGTGATGATGGAACGCCCACATACTTCTTACCCAGAACACTTGAGATAGTGCCAACTGAAACACTTAATTTCTTTGGCTTTGTTCCTTTGGAATTTTTGCCCAGAAGAATAGAACACTTAAGATTATCCTCGTCCGATGATTCCTCTGGTTGAGGAACATTCTTCCCAATCTGTGCATGACGAAAACCAGAACTACTACTTTCTTGGAGTTGGTACAACATATCTCCTGCTTTACATACATCACGTCCTGCCTTGCAATAAGCAGAGGCTATATCTTCAAGAGTACAAAATGTCCCAAAGGCATCAAGCAAGGCGTTCAAAGCCCTAGTTTCATCATCATGTTCTGAAGTGTATAATGTGGACATAATTGGGATATATTTTGCACCTGAAACTAAGCTTCGGATTAAGCCAACTAACACTGTAGGACCTGATAATAAAAAAGAAAAAGATCACCAATCTGGTGGCAAATGCTAAAACATACATGTCAAAATGAGTCACAGTAGTACTAGTTCAACTTCAATTAGATGTTGGACTGTGCTTGTCGCATATCACCTCATGAAATGCCTGGTAAAGAAGAATAAAATGCAGCAATTTAGACATGAATTTGGCTAAAGCATTCCAGAAAGTTAATGCAATACATTCAGTTATATAACAATAATCCTACCGGCAAAAGATCCGTTTCTTCTGCAGCTAATGTTGCTTCTAATCAGCTAAATATTCACAAACTATCCGCTTTTCCAACTATAACAATTGATAAGTTGTTTGCCTCACATTTTAGTGAGTTTCTGAAATTGTACAAAAGCTAATATACCGAAAAAAATGCAGACCTTAAAGAATTTGTAAACAATCTCGTAAGGTAGTCATGGAAGAAACTTAAACCAGATCTCCACTGGAAAATTTAATCCCTTGTTTCCAGGTCACAGTAATAATGATACTACATCTCTCTGTCGGCAAAGCATCCCTCGCTCCCATAAATGTAACTTTGGGGAACAGCAGGCAGTGTCAGAAAGATATGAGAAAGCAACAAAGAGTGGAAAACGAGATTTCCCACTGCTCTGGCCCAGATTCAACCAGAATGTGATATTTCTAGTTGAAGCTTCTTCTCCTGCGTGACCTCCAGTCGCCGATCTCTGTCACCGGTTGGTTACTGTGCTCATGGCAACAACAGCAGAGAAGAGGAAGTTGACTGGTTGACTATGGTCAACACTGGTTAACTTTTGGTCAACAGGGTAATTCTGGAATTTTTTGTTATTCCCGTTTTTGTTGTATTTGGGTAAATTTTTCAGGTTTTCTCCAAGAAAATCATCATCGTGTTGTGACTCCCATGTATCGCTAAACGGTTCAACTTTATTAGGATTTTTTTTTCTAAGGATTACAAAGGAAGTCACAGGAGTGGTTTAAACAGAAAAATTAGTTAAGATTATCATTTCAAGAATTCAAACAAAAACATGAATGCAGCATCAGGAGAGAAAAGCCCTAAAAGAAGACCATTGCGAATCATTTGGCAATCATGCAGTAGAAATTATTTACCAACAGAACTTACACTCTGTTCATGGTAGCATCTACCCCTGCGATTGTCAAGACATAAAAACAACAAACCAGCATCACCTAATTCCCATAAAAACCCAGGTAGAAAAATAAGATCTATGTGCATAGATCATTTTCTCTCTTTTTTTTTCTCCCTAACAAAGGAAAAATGAGTTTCTACTCAACTGGACAAGCAGAGATACACAACTCTAACTGGATTAGTATTAATGAAAAAAGTAGTAATAGCCCAACTCCGTGATTAATTGTATATTCATTCTCCATACATTATTCACCGCTCGTTGCAATTATCAACCTCGTTGAGGAACAAATTAACTAGCCACAAAGAACAAGAAAGCAATCCAGGACCGCGCTAATGCTACGACACCAAGAAAGCAATCCAGGACCGCACTTATGCTACGATACCAAGAACTCCATCTAAACCCCCCAAAATCTACCTACGCCAAAAAAATGGCCATCATTCCAACATCGATGATTACGGAAGAGATGGAGATAGACAAAACCATGACGGGCTCTCGATTCGGGCGATCCAGACACCGATGATGGAGTTGAAACGAAAGGCGAGATTAAGGATTGGAGACGAAAATCTTACTTGATGCTGTCCGGCGGAGAAGGGTTAGGACCGATGCGAAGTCGAGAGGGAGGGGAGCGAACGTAGGGGAGAGCGGAGGGAGTGAATGAATGGGGGTATTTATTAAGGGTTTTATTTGATTCGCTACTCGGGGAGAACAAAATTAAATGTGCTACCATTATACCAACGAATATTAAATGGTTTGTGTACATATCCCTCTAAATTGAAATTAAACACGCACACACAAATATATATATATATATATATATATATATATATATATATATATATATATATATATATATATCATTATGATTTAAAATTAATTAAATAATCTTAATACAGTAGAAAATGTATAATAATTATGAAATACTAAAAATATTTTAGGTTTTTATATATATTTTAAACTTAAACTATATGCTGTTAGTCATACATATAATATCAAAATTGAAATGACAAAAGCATGAGAGTGTGAAGGTGGTAGCCCTCGACAATAACACTTTTGGCGCTCTTTCGTGGTTGCATGTACGGGGACTATACTTGTCCCGGAAGTAATGAGTCGAGAAAGCGAGATGGTGAGGTTAGGAAAGAGACAATTAGAAAGGTTGACCCTGAGTCAACGAATCAAGATTTGATAGTCAACATGTTATCACGAACAAACTTCTAAACAGGATGTTTGATATAATGCTTATGTATGTTCGTATTTTTTGGTATGTTCATGTTTTGTACAGCATATAGAGAGACGGTCGAAGGCTTAATAGTCTCATTTTAGTTAGGTTGGTGGCCGCTTTAGGCTTGTAAATAAAGGTTATGTCATGTGGACACGTGTGAGAGATTTTCGGTCTGTAATGGATTATTTTACCCTTTGTTGTGCAACTGTTCAGAGCTTGTAAAGTTTGTTTGTAATTTGCATTGTCTATGAAGTGTTTTCGGAAATGTTTGCTTATGGATCCCGATTGAGACGTTTTCTCTAACCCGTTCTTTCTTTTGTGGGTCATAAGGGACATGGGAGGCTTCGGGGAGGCTGACCTTTGCAGACGGACACGCAAGGGTGCTGCACGACTTAGGCAAAACCAGCTAAGTCCATGACAATGTCTCGAATTGGAACCAGGATTGATTGTGTTGCTGGGTTGTGATTTGGTTTGGTTTGGGCTTCTTTCGCGGATTTGGTTGTGCGCCCAATCAAACACCCACCACGCATGTGATATGAATTCGATCTGTTTGGGCATCCCGTTCATCGGTCGTCATATTTTGGGACATGGATCAGCATAGGTCCAATCTTTTTCCTGTATTAGTGCGCATTAAATTAGAACATAGGGGGGAAACAATCCATATAAAATTTGCATAATGCCAAAGAAAACACATATTGTATCAATCAACTTTAAAGATATTGACTTATCAAAGCCTAAGATATGTACATACCATCTTACCTCCGCAAACAGAGATACTATTTCAATGATCACCGCGCGGCCCCCACCGCTGCCGGGCGCCTGCGCTCGGGCCGCCGCAGGCGTCCTCAGAAGCATCACCTGCGGCCCTCGCCGCTGCCCGCGCCCTCGCCTATGTCACCTGCGGTCCTCAACGCCGCCCGCGCCGACCGCTCACGTTGCGACCGGCACCCACGCTACCTCCCGCGACCGGCACCCACGCTATCATAATTCAAATGACGTTAAATCGTTTGTATTTATTTTATGTCTTTTTCATCTGATTGTTTTGTCCACTAGATTTATATCTCGTGACTTTGGCAACCGCTAATCCTGCCTATATATATATATATATATATATATATATATATATATATATATATATATATATATATATATTGTCGAAGTACACATGATTGGATCCTACAAGCATCATTGACTAAGACTTGATAACGACACGTCGCAAGATGAAAACAATCGGATTATTAGATACGGTTTGGAAATATTATATAAACCAAGCCGTCAAACAGGAACGTTAGTTGGAACTAAATTTGATGGATCTATCCGATTGGCCTTTTGATTTAGCAGAATAAAGATTTTTTGTCGTTGGAAGTAGATGTTTTAGATGCCGATGACGATGATTCAAACTACTGAGGCTCTCGTCGAGCGTCCACTAGATTTCAGTTAGCATACTAATCCCACATGATTTTTGGGAAGTGTCGGGTCTAAGTTGCAGATCAGGAACTCTGATCGAAACAAAAATAATAAGGAAAATAAAAGCTCCTGAAGTTTATATGCATCTTCATCATATGGATTGCACGAGGTTATTCTTCAAGAAGAAGTTGGGGGAAGCTTGATGGAAAAGTTGAGCATGTGGTGGCACCCATTACAAATGATCCAATCTCACAAGCCTATGAATCTCTCAGCCAGATGGGAGCAGAGAAGCACCAAGAGGAACAACCATTTCATATCACACAACAAAGAATATCTCAGTATAATAGCAACTCAGAGCAGATCTACATAGCACCCATCAACTTCATACATCAAAACTCCTAGATTCCAAGAAAAAAAAGGAACACGCACCAAAAGAAATGGAACACATCAAGCCATAGCAAACCTATATGAACAAGACAGCAATGGAAACCGGAAGAGAAGATGCAGATCTACATGGAGGAAGGAATAGGAGGAAGCAGCAGCAGTGAGGTGTCAGCCCCTGATGTGGCGAACCTTGTGCCAGGTCTTCTTGCAGGTCTCCCCTACCGCCTTCATCCCTTTCTTCATCAGCTGCTTCAGCTCCTTGGCCCGCTCCTTCACCTGCTCCTCGAAGCCTGCCATGGTGCCTGCTCACAGAAAAGGTGAATGAATGGATTGATCAGTTCAGCCCCTTCCACTACTTTAATAGAGTTTCATCCTTGGAGCTCTCTCTCTCTCTCTCTCTCCCTCTATCTATCTAACGGTGGGTGCGTGCCATGTTGTACCGCTGTGATGATCATGATTCGCACGATTCCTGGACTTCGAAAAGACAGCAGCGATTGCGTTGGATATCAGACGAGAACAGGGTGTAAAGCCACGTTCTTTGCAGTTCAAGAATCCAAGGGAAGGGAGGCGAGAGAGAGAGAGAGAGAGCATTAGAAGCATGGAATCAGGGTTTTGAGACACTAACATATGCTGGAAGTGTCATGATGTCCAGATAAGAATGAAAAGGTTCTTTGTTTTGCTATGGACAGAGATGAGATTAGAGAATGATCAAGGCGGAGAAAGAAGAAGAAATGGAATGATGGGAAGGCAGCTTTGGCTGAAAGCATGCAGAATGGACCACAAGTCAGTAGGCCAGTGGCTGTCACTGCATCCTGTGACAATGTCGTGGGCACTGAGTCAGTATCAGGCACATGAAAGCAAGATGGATGCGTACAGATTCCGCGAATCCATCCAAGTGAGATGTAGAGTAGGGATGATTCTAAACAAATCCCTTGTATCAGGCCAGCACATTGTATCAGATTTCAAACTTGGATCATATCCGAATTCAATAATTTTTCTGAGGTCAAACAATTTTCATATTTGGTGGGCAAAAAATGGATTCAATTTAGACTCCAACTACACTTTTGGTATTACCAAATTTGGCTTGCTTTCATCATCATGAAGCAGAAACCAGCAGGGCTGTGGTTGTCATCCTGTGAGAAGACTGTGGGCAGTTTGTACCACTAACAATGTATAATCTAATGTAACACGACTGTTCTAAACTCTCCTTGTCCCATGATAGTTGTTCTTTATTCTAAGTCATAAAGATTCCTTCCTTCTCCACTTTATGAGTAGGTTTCTCTTTCTGCCAAGCACTTTGGACTATTCTTTTTAGCAGTCTGGCAGAGAATCATTTTCACTGTAATCAAGACTCCCTAGGAAACAGCTGATTAAACAAGGAAAAAGATAATGATATAACTACAAACAAGCCCCCAAGGACTCTCCCAGTCCTTGCAGATGTTGAAGGATAAGGGGAGAAATACTTGGATTGATCTAGTTGGAGAATACCTACTCTTATGAACAACTCCAATCTCAACCAGTGTTCCATTCTCTTTAGTTAGTGATAAGATTATTCCTCCCTCAAATGAACACACATCAGTAAAACTTTATCTGATAGGAATGGCGATGAACTGATTACTTTCTCTTTTGTTAGTGATAAGATTATTCCTCTCTCAAATGAACATACATCAGTAAAAAACCCTATCTGACAGGAATGGCAAAGATGCAGCTTTGAGAGCACCTCAATAACTAGAAAAAAAAAAACTCCATATGCAATTAGTGAAGTTAGAATCTTGGTTCTCCTTGAGTTAATAGTAAGAGCACATTTAAATTATGAAATACATATAGTTAGATTCTTCATTGGAATTACTAGTTGCCTTTTAGCTACTTATCAGCAAAATATAGCTCATTTAAAACATCAAAAGCAAAAGGAAAAAAGATGTTTCTGACTTCCTGTTGAAGAACTAGGATAATAGAAGAGTAAATCCTTTACAAAATAAAGACAGCACGGTTACTAAAGGTGGCTAATTTTGATATGAATTCTGTGAAAAACAACTTTGACTTTGTTGAGCAAGACATTCATCATGACTCACACCGTAAGTTATGACAATCTTTCAGGAACCAGAAAAAAAGTGAACATGGCATGGAATAAAAACCGCTTTAACATACATCCTTTGGATTAAGACACAATAGTGATTAATAATGTCATTGCATTAGACATAGAATGGATGGCTAAGCAAGGAATCAACAATATGCAGAACCAATAAAATATCCAACAAGAAAGAGTTGCAAAGAATCCTCGCCAGAAAAGTGTCCTATGCTGAAAATAGACAAACTAATAATAACACCTTGCACCACTTCATTGTGGAGGCAGGAGATGAAAGCAGGAATTCATAATAAAGAGTTTCTTCTAGCAGAGGAGTTATGAGGCCATACAGAAAAAAGCATGTCATCATAGACAATAGACTATTCAATAAGTTTCATTTTCAAAATGATGTTGTTCACATCCTGCAAGCAACCGTAGAATTATATCAAATTCGAATGTTGAGAATTATAATTACATCAAGATCTTCACTAAATGCACTTTTAAATGATAAAAAAACAGAAGAACTTGCTAACCTCACACTAGCAGTACAATAATTAACTCAAAC